CGCCGGCCCGTTTCCCCCATTCTCATATCTATAACGTGACTCATCGCGACGGTTTCAGTCGAATCTTACCGACTAGTCTAATTCTGATATTTTTTTTTAATGTTTCTATATATTTTTGTATGCCAGGTCTCTGGCAACAGAGAGTAGTTCTTGACAAACCTTAATGATTTTATTGTTATTTATAAAGGTTGAGCAGATTGTAACAGTTGTAATCGCTTTTTTGTGGATTACTTGATGCGGCCCACTCTCATTCAGACACTACCTCCTGCGGCCCCCCTGATGATTTGAGTTTGAGACCCTTGATCTAATGAATACTTTGGATTTTACCAGGGGGGGGGGGGGGGGGGGGGGGGGAAATTAATGCAATTTTTTTTTTTTAAACAGGGTCTCTAAGAAATGTGGTTTTAAAAGATCGCTTAATTTGTTTTTAAAGATCGTTTAGTTGGTTGTTATTGATAGGCTAGTTTGTTGTTAAAGATCGTTTAGTTTGTTGTTAAAGATCGTTTAGTTGGTTGTTATTGATAGGTTAGTTTGTTGTTAAAGATCGTTTAGTTTGTTGTTAAAGATCGTTTAGTTTGTTGTTAAGGATCGTTTAGTTTGTTGTTAAAGATCATTTCGTTTGTTGTTAAAGATCGTTTAGTTTGTTGTTAAGGATCGTTTAGTTTGTTGTTAAAGATCGTTTAGTTTGTTGTTAAGGATCGTTTAGTTTGTTGTTAAAGATCATTTCGTTTGTTGTTAAAGATCGCTTAGTTTGTTGTTGAAGATCTTTTAGTTTGTTCATAAAGATCGCTTAGTTTTTTCATAAAGATCACTTAGTTTTTTCTTAAAGATAATTAATTTTGTTCCTTAAGATAGATTAGTTTGTTCTTAAAGATCGTTTAGTTTGTTCCTAAAGAACATTTAGTTTACTGTTAAAGATCGCTTAGTTTATACTTATAAATCATTTAGTTTACTATTAAAGATCATTTGTTTTGTTCTTAAAGATCATATAGTTCGGTCTTAAAAATCGTTTAGTTTGTTCTATTAGAGCGTTTAGTTTATTATTAAAGATCGCTTAGATTGTTCTTAAAGATCGCTTAGTTTGTTTTAAAGATCGTTTAGTTTGTTCTTAAATGTCCCTTAGCTTGTTGTTAAATATCGTTTAGTTTGTTCTTAAAGATCGCTTAATTTGTTCTTAAATGTGGCTTAGTTTGTTGTTAAATATCGCTTTCACTGAGTATTAAAATGACCGAAAACCTGAGTCACTTTCGGCCGGCTGGCCGAAAGTCTAAGTCAATTGATAAAGTGATAAAATGGCCACTTTCGGCGCCGAAACCGAAGCCGAAACCGAAATTCGGTCAATCTCTAGTTCAGCTGATACATTGTCCCGGAGCCAATGGTGCTCAAAGGGGGCGCATGAAGGTGATTTTTTTTTTTTCTTCAAAAAGGAAAAACAATATTTTATATATACTTCATGCTCCATAAATTTTATGGATAGCCAGGCTTTTCCTAAAGTATTCCAACTGTTCGAAGTTTAAATGGTGAAAATCATGACCCAGATAGACTTATAGTGAAATTGCGCATTATTTTGCATGTGGATTATTACGTTTACGCTTGCACCAACAGGAGGATGGTCAGCCACTAATAAAAAGTGTCCAAAATGAAGTGTTGACATCACAGAACTTGAGAGAAGCAATAGACACAGGCGGTGCTGTTTTGCTTGACGAGACCCAAAGAAAGACGACTGTAATCAGACAAAGGCATTTTCAGCCTAATGGAGGCATCGATTGAATCTGCCAACATTAAGAAACAATTAATTGATGTTGTACCACTCCTCGGGATATTCAAGAACAGGGTATTCAACTGTCTGATTACCATGCACAGGCAGAGGCGTAGCGTGGTGGGGGCAGGGGGGGACAGATGTCCCCGGGCGCCAGCTAATTAGGGGCGCCAAAATGTGCTTTGATATTATTTTATTGATGAAAATAATGGGTTTGAGAGTTGAAAAAAAAAGAAAAAGGGGCGCTAAAAATGGATCTTGTCCCCGGGCGCCAAACACCCTCGCTACGTCACTGTGCACAGGGCTATAATGACAAATGCAGCCAATATGGAAGAAAATATAAAGGTGCACAAGCAAGAACATTTGAGCAAAGTGAAACAGCTTTTTTGCACCATGTGGATGCCACACAATTAATGTATGTAGAAGTGATGCCATAAAATGCATTCCTGAAGCCATAACACTGTATGGAACTGTACACACTGTTTACAACTAATTTAGATCTAGTTCACAGCGATGGGAAATCTTGTAGAAGTGTATTGGCTGCTATGTTCACATGTCTAACACACGAAGATCAGACCGTGTTTTGTAAGTATAAAGCCCTTTGTAGCGCAGCTGCCAGGCATCAAATTTGCATTAGGAAACCTGTTGAAGTTGAACCCAACTGCCAAAAGAAGAAAAGAGATGAATGGCATATACTTCATGCATCGCTTGATGTTAAAGTGCCCAACTTAAAAACGTTTGATTTCAGAATAGACAAATCTTCAAACAGCTGCAGCGAAGCTAAGCATGCTGCTTCTTATGTGTGCATTGAAGTGAAACATTCTGGGTGAAGCTAAACCAGCATTAGAAATGTTGGCGCACCAGGCAGTTGAAAATTATGGCACATCTCCCTCCTACAAATGTTCAGGTTGATATTAACTGTTGAACATTTTAAAAGGTGCCGATAGAGAAGAGTGAAGAGAGATGTCATAAAATACCATTCTTCTTTAGCCATCTTTTTTTTTTTTCTAACTTCCCTTGTTGGATAAAAGTACAGGGAGGAGAAAAGAATCTTGTCCTTTTTTTTTTTTTATTAACCCAAACAAAAAAAAAAAAAAAAAAAAAAAAAATACAAACACAACATACAAACTTTCTTTTAATCTTTTAATTAAACAGAAATAAAAAAATTCCACTCCTAAAAGACCTCCTCCGCCACACCCGTTTGGTTGTTTCAAAATATAAACAACTATTGGTTTTTACCATGTTTTTAGTTTTTTAGATACTAAGGAAGTTCAAGGGGAAAAGAGTAGGCCGTGGCGCCGTTCTTTGGAGTTTGGGGGCCCTACGCATGGAGCGGAGATTGGGGGCCCCGGAAGGGGGGGTCCGGGGGTGGAGCTCCCTCGAGCTGAGGAGAAAACACCACCTACCACTGCGGCACCTCCATTCTGCCTTCATCAATGTTTCCTCTTTCCCATTCCCACGGCCAAGCCCCCGATTTCCTGTCTGCCACCCCCAAAGTCCCATCCCCCCCCTCTGCTGCTTCCCTTCCCCTGCCTCCGAATTCAACTCAGAATGATAAATTTCAGGATGAGGAAGGTAACGCGAGTGACACAGACGGCTGCAGTGCCAGTTTAAAAAAAACCGGAGGATCGAGGGCGCCTCACTGAGGCCCCCTCACGTTCGGGGCCCTACGCAGATGCGTGGTCAGCGTATGCCTAAGAACGGGCCTGTAGGCCGTAATCGATAGTTGTCACTCAAAAAATGACAAATGGACCATAGGCGTCGTCCATTAATTACGTCAAACATTTTCCCGCAATTTTTGCCCCCCCCCCCAACCCACTTTGTCAACAACTGTCAAACTTTTGATGACCCCCTATTTAATTATGTCAACATTTTAAAAAAAAAAATTATAATATAAATTAATTTATAAACACGTTTTCCTTTTTGCTCATGTTCGGTATTTTTAATAGCTTAAAATTGTAGGGAAAATATATTATTCATCTTTAGCTTATTAATAAAAAATTTAAAAAAAAATTACACTTAAATTTTATAATGCAGAATCAATTAAAAGTTTGTTAAAGACTAAATATAATTGTTTGTGGAAATATAAATATGATTATTGGCAGTATAGCTGACAATTGTAGTATAGTTTCTAGCTGCTATGATCTTCCCATGGGGTAGGCAGGTTTTGCTCTATCGTAACTTCGTAACAATGGGCATCAGGGACATCATTTGTTTTGCTGGTTTTATTTAAATTGCTTTGCACTGTGGCGCCTCTAGTAATAAACAAATTAACGAGCCAAACAGGTTTTGGTTCCCCCTCCCTTCCCTTGAAAAAACCCTGAAATGATGCCCCTGATTGGCATAGTCTATTGTAGCTGATTTATCATTTTCATCTTGCGGAACTGATACCAGACAAGTCAACATCATCCTTATTTAACTATTCAGCACTTAAAATCGAAGCATTGTCTTTGTGAGCAATAATTGCCATAAGCTCTCTCTTTCTTTGAGTTTGTATAGTTGTTATTGAACACCGATGAGTTGGTCTTTAAAAAAAAAAAAATTGAGCACCGTGTACAATGATGTGTTAATCATTCTAGGGAGCGGATTAAGATAAAAATGATAGGTGAATAGATGCCCGGGGACATCTGCTCCCCCTGCACCCCCTTCGCTACGCCTCTGCCCCCCCCCCCCCCCCCCCTCCCCCCCCCCCCCCCCACACACTTTTTTTTTTCAAAGAAAATATAACAATGAAGATGGTCGAAAATGTCGCCCAACATCCCCCCACATTTTTTTCTTCTCATTATAAGGAAAAAAGTGCCGTCCGGGTCGGACCGCTCCATTTGCACCTAGTCCTAAGCTACTGCATGTACCTAGTGTTACAGTTGCGACAACGTTTAGTGCACATTCCTACTTTGTTTAAAACGGAGACCCCCAAAATTCAGTACAGTCTTACGTACAGGCAATTCAGAATGATACCTTTCAACCCAAGATGACCTTTTTAACTTTGACCTGTTTATTTAACATGCGTTCATAATTTTTAAAATGCATAATGTAATCTTACTTTGAATTATATATTTCAATTTCAATAATATATTACGAAACATTTCCAGTTGGGCATAAATTTTAATAACCATATAAAATAAATAGGTGAATAATGCAATGCAAGTTAACCAGGCTGAACTAGTTTGTATAAAGAGGAATATTAATCCGCAATGAAGACCAATAACATAAGACGCAGAGAATGAAATAGGTCATTTGCTTTTACGCTCCTATTGTGGGACAATCGAACTGTAGATACAGTGAACATGGCCATTCGAATTGCGAAAGTCTTAATAAGCGACGAAATAGATGATGTTTGCTTGGATATTCTTCGCAAAGCAGAGGTTGAAGTTGTAAAAAATACTAATCTTACAAAGGAGGAACTATTGCAAGAAATTTCGGTACGCTAAATTCATTTTTATACCGTGCGCTACAAGCATAACAAAGCAGAATTTCATTTCAATATGAAAGTAGACTGAACGAAATTTAATTTGACCCACATGTGGTTACGTTGTTGTATTTGTCACGTAGGCAGATTTTTCCTTTAAAATGAATCGTTTGCACTGCAAGACAGAAAGAGAAAAGCTGAAACTGAAACCATCTTATAAAGATTATGACCGCTGAGTTGTTGAAGTTAATGAGGCAGCAATTATTTACATTTCTTGAAATCTCTAAAATACAAACTGCCCTCCAGGGGTGCATGCGACTGCGACGAGTGTGTTTACTGTTTACATTTACTATTTAGAGGTGTTAAAAACTTAAACTTAAATAGTACTAAAAAGAGTATATAAGTATAAGTATAAGCTTAGTATAAGCATATCTAACACCAGGAATGTGAGTGATGAATATATAAGGGCCTAGGCCTAAGCCTTTATGACTCATAATATAATTTAATTTATTATTTATATAGTTAATAATATAATAATATAGACAATAGACCAATAAACATAGAATTTAAATAACATAATATAATATATTATATATCATTGTTCTATTTTGAGGGCAAGGTCTACACATAAATTATAAAGGCTATCATAATATTTCCACTGGCTAGAGACACAAGTCTATGACTATAATTTGTAATAAAATTATAGTAGGCTAAGTAGGATTAGGCACAGAGTCAGAGCAGCAGCATCATCAATAATTTACACTGCCACAAATATCATTTTATAAAAATTATGATCAGTGTCTTTGTGTCATAACAGTAACAGACATAAAATATGATCAATTCTGAGAGTAGTGATCAGTGAGGTCTTCTCTATTCTATCCTAAGCTGCAGTTACAATACAAATATTTGCTAATAAATTACATTTCAATCCATCATAAAGTCAAAAGATTGGCAACTAGGGCCTATATATTTTGGCTTACCAAAATAATTCTAAGGGTTGAAACCGGGACCTGCTGGAGTAAGTAGCACCAGTGGTGAACTGAGGAGGGGGGAGCAGGTGAAAGCCCTGGGTGGCATTTATATTAATTTTTTTGTCATATAAATAATAATTTATGTGAGGGGGAGGGGGGGATTTGTGGGTGTTGACCCTGTGGGACGTAGTCAAAGAACATCTCAGATATTATGCAAGGTCTGAAAAGCCACATTGTGTGTGCTGGGGATAGACCATTCTCATTCATTATTTAAATCTACCTTCTGATAAATATCCCTACATTTTTGTGTCCAAAATCCCTTAACAGCTCAAAAGAGGGGAGAATGTGTAAATTCTAGCCTAGCACTTCTATCTACTCATAGGTAGCAGGGTGGCGACACGCGGAACATTTGGCCCAGTCCCAGGCCTCATATGCAATGGGGCCTCAAAATTATAAGTGTTCTAACATAAATGGATGTTGCAATATACAAACTTAGACCTTGACAGTCTTTTCATGCCACATATAATTTAGTTTAGTTACATTACATATGGAATTTTATGCCAGCTAATTTCTGATAACATATACAAGTACAAGGCTTTCAAACATACAGGACAAATTAATTATTATTAGAAAAATTGTGATTGAAATTGGTATGGAAAATCACACTGACTGGGACACAGTTGCTGAACAATCAGTGGGGAGTGCCTATTGTTGCTGGAGATTACCATATTTATTGGCGTATAACACGCCCCCCGCATATGACACGCACCTCAATTTAAGAAGGAAATTTCAGGGAAAAAACTAAACATTATATCGGCGTATAACACGCACACATGATTTGCCCCCTATTTTCGGGGAGAAAAAGTGCGTGTTATACGCCAATAAATACTGTTCTTAGTCAAGACAGTACAATTCTATCATGCTCACTTCCCAAGACAGCTTTCAGAGATGAACTCTTCATGGAAATGAAATTAATGGAGAACCAATGAGACCAGACATCCAAAACAATAAAGGATGTGGTAAACCGTTATCTTGACCCTGCAGATTGCTCCCATATAAGCAGGTGATAAGCGGAAGTGGTTTCACCTCGACAATGGCCTTAAGCACCAGTAGGCAGTTAGGTCTGATTGAACGAAATAACTTTCTACCATTGCATTTATAAGACTTGCATTGGTTAATGTCAAGAAGTTAGAGTGGTGACTTATGTAAAATACTCTGAGTTTTCTGGAACAAAATTGCATGAAGATTCTGCTGAATACTCAGTACTAATAAATATAATTGTTTTTCAGATTCCGTACAAATTCTTGTATGACTAAACCATTCACTAGACCTGTTTAGTCTTCAAATCTTAAACTTTTATGTGGACAGTGTGGCTATTTTTCCCCAGGTCTTAAAATAAATTAGATATTCTTTGTCCTAATACTCCTAAGTTATCAATAACAATATTAAACATTTTTTTAGTACCCTACACAATTCTTCTACTTTTTTCATATCTGCGTGCCTTTTCCTGTTCCTCACCATACATTAATGAGGATGTTTACTTTCACTGAAATATCATGTATCATTGCTCATATTATTTAGTTTCATTTGTAGCTCTATATTTTAGCAAAAGGGTTTCAGTCTGCAAAAATTATAAATGTACTTTTTTTTTCTTCAGAAATATGATGGCCTGATTGTGCGTTCTGCCACAAAAGTTACTGCAGAAGTTATAAATGCTGGAGTTAATCTTAAGATCATTGGTCGTGCTGGAACTGGTGTTGACAATATAGACACAGATGCTGCCACTAAGAGAGGCATTATTGTCATGAAGTAAAGAGATTTTTAAATTTTAACTTAAAATTCTTTTATATTATTTTTAGGTTAACAATTTTAAAATCTGGAGTTTATTTTCATTTACAAATATTAATTTGTAGTGCAAAATTGATTCAAAACTTTCTTTTTGTGTAATGCTATAAATGTCTTCTAAAACATTATTTAAAATTATGCTGTTTTAAACAGTGTTTAAAAGGTGCTCTATTTTTTGCTTTACTTTATTCACTATAGCACCCCTGGAGGCAACACACTGAGTGCTGCAGAACATACTTGTACTCTTATAATTGCTCTTACCAGGTATATCATACTTATGATGTTTTGATAGATGTGAAATATTTAGGCATATATTGCATTTTAAAATGCTAATAAGTTACATTAATTGATTAGTTTATAACTTTTATAGCAGTTTCAAGATGTTCCCCCTCTTGTAACATCCAGACCTGCTTACTCTTACGATTTTGGCGTACAATGTACGATTTTGAGGTTTATACATTATATATACTTTATGTTTATTTTTTTACTGTTAAGATAATGTATTTAAAGAATTTGTCATGATATTGTACGATTTTAAAAGTTTGAGGGTAAACAGGTCTGAACATCAACCCAAGTGGTCTAAGTAATATCTTTCTTGAAAAGTTTTTGGGACAAGATTTTAAGCTTCATTTATGGGTATTGTTTGAGCTCTAAAGTGATATTTAAAAAATTTTTTTTTTTTACTTTTGCATTTTCTAAGAAATCTTGGTGAGGCTAGCAAATCAATGAAAGAGGGAAAATGGGACAGAAAAAGGTTCATGGGGACTGAATTATTTGGCAAAACCTTAGCAATCATTGGACTGGGAAGGATAGGAAAAGAAGTTGCTCTTCGAATGCAGTCTTTTGGCATGACAGTAAGTTTTAAATTAGATTATTTTTGTTTTCACTGTGTTTTAAAAAATAAATGAAGTAATCATAAGGAATCTGCACAACTCCTTTTGTACAACTTTGTCAGCATTTAGGATTCTTAGCTTGTACTATTGAAGTCTTAATGGCACAACTATACAAGTCTTTACAACTATACAAGTTTTTACAACTATACAAGTCTTTACAACACATACTATATGTAATGTTTATTGGGTGTTGCTATTGTGTCATATACAGAATTAAAAAAAAAAAAACAAGCACCACTTCTAAGGACTCATGTTAAATTATTAAATTTTTTTTCCTCCCAACTAGGAATACATCATTTTAGTTTTAGAGTATTTTTATTACATGAGTTCATGCAATTACAATCCCTCTAATCATTAGATAATACTTTTGCAATACTAATTTTAGACAATTAAGAGTGTTGGACTGCATTAAAGCTTTAAAGTTTAACCTATGTTGTTTTATTCACACAATTGTTTGTGTCTCAATCTATTGTAGACAATAGGTTTTGACCCCATCATCGGTGCACAAGAGAGTGCTACATTCAATACTGAGTGGCTGCCCCTAGAGAAAATCTGGACCAAAGCTGACTACATTACTGTACACACCCCATTAATTCCACAAACAAAGAGTAAGTTGACTATCTTCACCTTAAATTGTTGATCTGTCCATGATGGTCTCAATTAATTCATTTTACTGTGATGTACTGTGATCACCATTTGTTTGAATGATTTCCAGTTTCATCTTTTTTAATCTCTTCAGATCTCATTAATGATGCAGTTTTTGCCAAATGCAAGAAGGGAGTGCGTGTCATTAATGTTGCTCGTGGTGGCATAATTGATGAAGATGCTTTGTTGAGAGCCCTAGAGTCTGGTCAATGTGGTGGAGCTGGTTTAGATGTTTTCATTGAAGTATGTGCATTATTGTGTCATTTAGTATAAATTGACACTTTATCACTTGTATTTGTGCAAAATTTGATCAACCAAACTGAATTATTAATGTGTTAAATATTTTGTTGAAAATACATTGTTTTTTTTCTGGGGTCCAAGAGACTATTTATTTAAAAAAGTTTCTTTGACTGATTTTGTTGTAAAGGAGCCACCAAAGGACTACACACTGGCAAAACACCCTAATGTTATTGCCACTCCACATCTTGGGGCAAGCACAATTGAAGCACAGACAAGAGTTGCCGAAGAAATTGCTCAGCAGTTTGTGGACTTGTCCCAAGGGAAGTCACTTGTTGGAGCTGTAAGTCCCTCATTTTAACATCATTTAGTTATTTAGTTTGTATCTCTTGTTGAGGGTGGATTCTTATAATGCATGATTTGTTCTTTAACTGCCACATTTAAGCAAAAGTCATAAGAAGTGGATATATTTTGTAAATAGCTTAATTTATTCTTCGAAGGTATTTAATGTGAAAATAGATTCAGCTACTTTTGATCTCAAAGGAGCAATGTCCTTATGATAAATTGTGATGTATATAAAAGCTCTGTTCCTGCTGTTACCATTAACACATATTGATTTGGTCGCATATTTCATACTTAGAGAATAACAGTATCACAAAAACAAAAAGTGATTAAATTCTTTTTCTACTTATTCTTATTTTGTTATTATTCTTTCCCACTGCTATAGTAAGAAGGAAAGCCAGTTGATTTCTGGGGAGCTTCTGGTATCTAGAATAGTCTTTCTATTAAGTCTGGTGTATAGAATTAAAATAGTCATTCTATTAACTATGTGCAGCCAATTTTTTTTAAAAACATTTTTTGTTATAAATTTTCAAATTCTTGGTGTCTTTTTAGGTAATCTAAAATAATAAGATACCATAAAAAGAGTATTTATTTAAAACGCATCATGTTATATATTTAATTGTTCAGAAGTGAATTAGGATTCATATTTTATCAAATGTGCTTGAAAATGATTGCGATCATGATTGATATTTAAAAAGGATTTTAACATTTTTTACACAAACGACTTAGTGTAAGAAAGAAAAAAAACCTAACCGTTATCGAAGAAATAGTTAAAATTTAATTCTGCAATATAATAAACAAAATCCCCAAAAAACAATTTTACAAAGACAACCATTGTTTCTTTAAAAATAATTTTTTAATGAAACGTGTGCAAAGTGTTTTTGTGCTTAAATTTAGACAAGTGAACTTATGCAGACTCATTCAAATACAAAATTTAAAAACCTATTTAAATATTTAAAAGTTCATATTTAATACAAATTCATTTAAATACATTACAATTATAACAACTAATATGAATAATTTTGTTTTTTAATTATTGAAATTTTAATAAAAAATGTAATAAATAGAAAAATAATAATGAAGCTAGAGCTTACACGATTAAATAAGGCCTAAACAAATACAAAAAGTCCAAGTGTCTTCTAAGCTTAGGGGATGTTCTAATAATAAACAATTATTTCACTTAGTTAAAGAGAAATGTTTATTTCAAACATTTAATTACCATAACAGTCTGAAGCTCTTTCTTGTCGAGTCAATAACACTGCAGCATGAAATTAGGCTCATTTACAAGAAACAAAAATGTAGAGTTCTGTAGGTGTAGTGTTATTTTCTTCCAGTTAGTGTAGTGGTACTTTTTTTTCTTCTGTGGTTAGCATAAGCAATTGTGTAGTCACACATTTTCAACATGATTTCCATACAGAAAAAAAGTTTGAAGAAATTTGCTGTAGACCATAGTTTATTTGTAAATGGCAGGTTAGCATGACATCAAAGCAAGATATTTTTGATCTAACACAGATATAACAATAGTATAACACTATAATAATCTTTATATATATAATTCGCCAGCAAAGGTCAAACAACAAGACCAAGACGGGTCAAACACCACGCAGGCTATATATAGATACGCCAGAGCAAGCAAGACGACGACACAGGCAAACCCTCCCCTCGCTTGCCAGCCAGCTCGTGGCGTCTGCTAATCCGCGGGTCGGCTATAGTTCATGGGCGTGAAATAAAAAGTGTGCATTGACGTATCATGAAAAGGGGGGGGGGGTGGGGTCGTAGCAAAATGGGATTCTTAAATGTGCGTTGCTTGAATAAAAAATTATTATTACAAAAATTTTAGCTCCGCCCTCTTTCTTACCAGACGAAAACACTGGATTTCTCTTTAGTTGTCCCGTATAAAGTTAAGCTGAAACATTTTTTTTTCTAATCATACCAACTGTTATGTGTAATTTACTAACTGTATTTAAGTATTAACAAAACTCTTGAGGGCAATGAATTTTTTTCTTAAGGTGAATGCCCCAGCTTTGACACATGCCTTGAGTCCTGCATCCCAGCCATGGGTCAAACTAGGAGAAAGGCTTGGTGCTGTAGGAAGCTTGCTTACAAAAACCTTGTCAGTTAACAATGTTGAAGTATTAATGTACGGTAAGTGGTTGGCTATTTTAACGTTTAAAAAAATAAAAATATATAAGATACTCATTCCTGATGTTTGCGACTTAATTCACCTCTCATTTATATTTTAAAATAGCAATGAAATCTTGCATTTCTCAAGACTGTCTGTTATGGCATAATTCTGCATGATTTCAATTTAGAAGGGCGGAAGTTTTTATCTTGTTTCACTTTCGGTCTGTGTTGTTTAGTACATTGCGACTGTATCTAGCATGCGTTCATCCGAGGTGCCAAAAATCAATTTTTTGGTCATTGCATGTTATTTGTTCGCTGTTAATGTTACATTTTTATTAAACCTAATTCATTTCTGCATGCATTTATCTATAATTCATTAATATTAATAAATATAAGCAGCTAAAATAAAATATTTTACAAATGTAAATCGATGGCAAAGTGGAGTTACATCCCTTCGTTCAAAAATATAAATGAAGTATGGATGCAGCACTGCTGACAGGAATGAGCTAGCATATGATGAGTTAAATTAAATAGTAAATAGGATTAAGGGTGTACTATTATTGAAAAAATTTTCGAAAGTCAATTATCTTTCAGATGAGTCACTGGAAAGAGCTGGTCACTATTTGGTGGCATCTGTGATGGTAGGCTATTTGAATACATCAGCTGCTGAAAATGGAGACATTTTACCTAAAAATTTGAACCTTATCAACGCTCCTGTTTATGGTAAACATGCAGGAGTCAAGGTTAGCTGATTTTAATTACATGAAATTAAAAAGATTTATTTTATTTAGATATATATTTTTTTAGTTCCTTGCAAGAATGTAATATTTGTGTGTGTGGCTTAATTCTCATGCCTTTTAAATAGATATTAAGTAAAAACATTATGTTAACACAGATAAAATAATAATTATCTGGTTATTTTAAAGATTCCTTACACATTTTTGGCAAACTTTAATTAAATGACTTCTAGCTAGCTCTTCATCTGCTTCAGGTATTAAATAAAAGTGCCATTTGATTTTTACCCCCCTCATTAGAAACACATTTTGCAGTTTTTCATTCTGCCAAACTAATATTTATCCTAAAATTAAAGACAGCATGTAAAGTGGAAATGAACATTTGCATGAAAATTTAAAAATCAGATTTAATAGATAACAATGTTCACTCTTTATCCCATAATTTTAGAACTAAACTCATAAACCATGTAATTTTGTATTTATGGACATAAAGTAATTTCAAAAAGACCTTTTATTTTTATGCGATTCTTGCCTCACAAAGTATTTAATAGTGATTGGGACGTGTACATAATAACTGTTTATTCTAAGTTAAAGACAGCTTTAGTTATTTAGAAATAAATAATCTTTTCTGCGGTCCAGTTTTGCTGGTCTTTTGATACAGATGCTTCTTTTTTCCATACTTTTTTATGCACTCTGCTTAGAGAACAAAGTTTAGAATGCCTGTAGAGTGTGTCATATACGAGGGATGCTGTCAGCTCTCTAGTCCCATTATTGAGATTTGTTAGTTTTTCACATTTTGCACAAGTTAATTTTTTTTTAAAGAGCCAAAGCAATGCTTAATTTTAGATTAGTTACTTTTTGATGCATTTGCTATGCAACTTAATGTAGTAAAGAAAAAATTTTCAAAAACATATTTATTGTACTTTTGAGAATGTGTAACTAGAAGTGACAGCTCAAGATTGGTTTCGGGGGGTGCACAGTTTGTAGGGAGTCATTTATAAAAAAATATATATATTTGGGTGGTGGCTGTTGAAATTATCAATAAGGTAAAGGGTATTATTTTTTAAAGGAATGAACAGAATACACCTGCCACACCCATATTTAAATTTTGTATATATTTATGCAGGAAGAACAATTTAACAAATTTTGTAATTGAAACTTTTTATGCTCTAAATAAATACAAATGTGATTCTTTTTTTTAAAATAAATTTATTTATCATCTTCATAGTTTCAATTTAAGAATAATCTTTTTTTTAATTTATTTTTTAATAAAACATTTTTGTTAACTTTTAAATTTACTTTTAATATAAAGTTATAGAACTGCTTAAATCAAGAAACAATATACATAGCATGAAAAATCTATTGATTTTTCTAGTTTATGTGTAGCCATGCATGACATGTTGTTAATTTTACACTTTTCTTTGTTCACCTGTTTGTTACAAAAAGTTACAGCCCTCTAATTCTTTCCATAAAACTATAACAAGAGTTCCTTTTCCCTATTTACAACATTTTGTTAAATATTTTTAAATTTGAAAATGTTCTGAAAAAATTTTTTTTGTTGAAGCTCGTACTGATATGGTGGTGGCTAACAAATAAGGAAATAACTATTTATATTAAAAAAAAAAAAAAAATTATCGTGGTGGTGGTGTGCATAATTTTTAGAATGCTGCTGAAAACCAGACTAAAGAGGAACCACCATGTGCCATCAATATGATCAGTGCTGCAATGGTAGCCAAGCAAGCTGGGATTGTTGTGAGTCTTCAGTCATTCTAATAGTTAAATTAGTTTATTCTTGAACAAAGGAGTTACAGATGTACTGAGTTGTGGTAGTTTTTGCATGCTTTGTTGTGCCAAGCCATATGCTTATTTTAAGGGAAATGAAAATGCTTTGCAAATTTGCTAATTTATATCTTTGTAGTGCTGCTTTCCATTTAAGTATAAAACAAATTCGCCAAGTGCATGGACAAATAAAACCCTTTTTTAAAAAAAAAAAAAGATTTGCAATAATGAAAGGTATCAGGTGTGCATAGCTAAAAAAATGAACCTAATGGATCAAGTTTTTCTTCTGGAAGGGGTATCTTTTTACTTGTGTTTTGCTGAATTTTTTCGCATTTAGGGAAAAAAATCAACTAGCATTTTTTATATCTCTATTAAAAAAAGATGTTATCAGACTACTTTTTGGTCAAAAGAATTCCAATGTTCGTAAATATCTTAACATTGGCTTAGTAAGGTAAGCTAAACCATAATCAGATTTCCGATAATTTAGTTTTAAAATAACTATGTGGTGGTTTTTTTTTTAGTAAAGAATAATAGAAATTAATCATTAAAAAATAGTTTTTGGTATGGTAGTGAAAAAACAAATACAAGAAAAAAATCACTTAAGAAAATATTTTTTTTATAAACATGCAGAATAAATTAGGAATACTTGTTCTTGCAGTTATAATAGATATGCCAATACTCGCTTCAGGAACTACAGCATTCAGCTTGCTGTGCAGCGGTTGTTAATTTGATTATCAATACAAATGTAATGAAAGGGATCATTTGTAATTTCTTTTTTTTTTTTTAAAGTTTTACTTTCAACTTTTAATTTTACTCTCCAAGTATTGCCACTTGCGAGGTTATACAAATAATGTAATTCAGTTGGAAAGTTAAATTTGGGAAAGCATAACGACAATATAATTGGTTTGCCAAAAATAATTTTAAAAAACACCCCTGAACAATAATAACACAAGAGCTTTAAAAGATTTTTGCATTATATATTTTTTTTTTTAACATGGGAGTTGATTGTTGGCAAATTTCTAATTTTAGACAACCTCAACATATAAAAGTCAAGTTGAAAAGGGACGACCAAGCATTAAAGTGGAATTCCAAGGTGCTGGTGGTGAAGTGGTTGAACTCTGTGGGACGGTGGCAGGGGATGTAAGCCTGCTTCTGTCTGTTCAAGGGAACAAATTCAAGGTCCCAGCTTGTTTGGCGGGAGACGCCATAGTGTATAGAGTGGACAAACAAGTTACACTGGCTGATATTCTGCGTAAGTTATTCTGTGCATCTATTATGATAGGGGTCAGCAGCCTACAGCACGCAGGCCAGACATCGCTTACTTAGCGATTTTCATCGTCATGCGGAATACCAAAAATTAATTATAAATGACTAAAAAAAATGCTGCTTAAATGGTAGACTTATAAGACATTGGCACACTGAATGAATTAGAAAACTTACTTTGGCGAGCTACTATCACAAGGTTGCTGAGTCCTGTATTATGATACTTCATTATCCCAATGTTTAAGTATCATTATGCCAATGATGTCTAATAAATATTTTCAAAAATACCAGTACCCAACCAGTAACCTAAGCTAATATAAGTAAGTCAATATATGTCCTTAGCATATACAATGTGTGTGGTCGTGATTAGGGAAATAGTCTGTTTCATTTGTTGATTCCACCTTGCCCCATCAACCATTCTTCTACATATACATACTTATCCCTTTGACCCCAACTGGGGCATAGGCCCTCTACAAGTGCTGTCCATTCTTCTTGGTCCGGTCCTGTGGTTCACTTTCCATTTGTATCCAATACTTTGTGTGTGTCTACCTCTAGCTCATCTTTATGTATTCTTTGATATCCCACTCTTCTCTTCCTTTTTCCCTGGGTTCCCTGGGTGTTTACGCGTTGTGTGCTATTGGCTTTGAAGCTTCCAGAAGACCCTGTGTTTGGCTACAAGGCTTCATACCTTTTTTTGGGGAAGAAGAGCCCTCCTGTAACAGTTTGAAATTGTTTGATATCCCTTTTACTTTTTTGGCCTCATGCTAACCCACCTCCCTTTGCATCAGGCTTGGGACTTTCCATGGTGGAGTTTTCTACATTCATGGTTGCCATTATTTTTATCTCATGACCAATTAAAAAAAAAAACTTACGTGCTAAAATTTAAAATTATAGGACACTCATTTCACAAAACATCCCACCCACTTCATCATTGTTACCCAGTACTAAAGATCTGCTAGATCAGGGTGAATTCTTTCCCTCAAAGTAAAGATGTAGGATATATTCCTAAAATCTGTCAGAAAATTACCACCGTGCTTCCCAGACTGCTATCAGCCTTTAACTCAATATTGTTATTAAGGAAGTGAGGTTTTACTACATATAATGGCAAATTTTTGCGCTTGGGAAATGCTTATGTTTTAAATTGTTCCATTTTAATAATTATCTTAATCAGAATGTTTTATCCATATGCTGAAAATGATTAAGTATCATTTAATCAAAATATTTTCCATTAATTTGGTTCAATGAAAGAATCTTATCTTATTAAACAAATAGGTATATTTCAGTGTTGGCCAGCAACTGCAGCAAATTATTTAATCTAGGCTTCTTAAATTTGATTGGTTATATTATATTATGCACATGAGGACCATCCAAAGACAAATTAGTTACAGATATAAAGTGTCCATGATCTTGGAGAAATACAAAAATTAAGACTGTTCAAAATTACAACTCACACTCAGGAACTCAAAAGTTATACGAAAAACTCAAACAAGGATTTTCAGGGCTGAAAAATAAATGTATTATGAATGAAAAAAAATAAAATTACCATTTAAGTGGCCCCAAATTTTTTTTTTATCTTACTTTATTATATTGGTATAGTAAACACCCCCCCCCCCCCCCCCCCCAATAATTATTTTTTGCGACACAATGTCTAAAACTATCCTCTGTACAAACTTAAAGTGAATGGGGCATTAAAAGTGGCCACGGTATCATATTATTATTATTTGTTTCAACTCATTGTTTTGACAGAGGCAGCAGGGAAAGATGAGATTGAAGTTTCAGCTGTATCAGCATCAGAAGTGAAAAACGGACAAGGATTTGGGATCATCAGCTTGGAATATCCTGCAGTTAAATCTCTGACAAACCTACAGCAGGTAGTCAGCAGTGCATATGTCTGTGCTTTGTAATTTGGGGAGATTTTTGTGTTTACAGAATTTAACACCAGATTATTTTAAATTTTGGTTCTTGCCGTCAGAAGTATTGAATTAGAATTAATTTTGACTTATTGTGTTTAAATGTTTTCCCATCGCTTTTTTCCTTTATACTTTGTCATAGCTGCATATTGTTGCTGTCTTAGGAATTCTAAAGATTCTTTGAGACCAAATATAATTAAACAGTTAATATAGCAACTTGCCATGTCGGTAATTGAAAAGTTTGAATATGTGAGTTAAATTTAATACAATATTTTTTAAATTAACTTTTAATTTAATCAACTATTAAAAAAAAAAAACAAATAAAAGTTAATATGAGATTCAGTAACATAAAGGTTCTTTTAAAAAGTAAAATTGAATCAATTCTTTGATCCATTCCAATTCATTCTCTGTAATTCTTGTGCAGTGCTAATAGAATACTAGGGTCTGGAACGCAGCTCATCTCCATTCCAAGAGTTATTTATTTTTTTTGTAACCAAAGTTTTATTTTTTAATAAATTGTGGGGAGCTGAGTGAAAGTGTGAAGTTTATAGTCTGCTCTTTGTCATTTATAAATGACCACACTTGTTGGTCTTATGTCTGCTTGGTATACAATGCTATAATCCATAGTCATGGGTCTGAAACTTCAAAACTTTTATTTCACTACGAAAATTCAATTTTAAGCTGTCTCTTTTTAAACAGATTTGTTCATTTGATAAATTTAGAGCTCAAAACTAATTGATTGTTTACTGCCCTCAAATCTTCAATAGATTTAAATAAGATAATAAAACAGACATTTTTTGCCGATGTGTAGTATAAAAACCTATAGTTTCTGAGTAAATTTGAGGCAATTTTCGAAGCTTTGCACCGTGTTCCAATGAGTTCTTATCAATTCACAAATGCAGATACAAATAATTCTTTGGGAGACATTTGACTAGATGTCAATAGAATAGTTCTGAATTACAATTTTTTTTAGTGTATAATGTGAACCCTTGGCTGACGAAATCAGTGTGCAGGCCTGAACAATCAGAGTTTATCAGTACCACAAAAAAAAAATTAAATGGCTATTTTGAGTTCTGCTGGTTTAGTTCATGGAACCCTAAATGTGATTTTTCAATACAGTAACATTAACATTATCTGCCCTGCCTAAAAACTTTAATATTTACCTCTAACCTGATACCATACTCTTCTTAAGTGAAATCGTCACAATATTTGGCAGCCTCAAATAGTGATCTCATAAATTGCTTTCGATACACACATCACCAGAAAGCATCACGATTTATCAACTAATCTAGTATAAATGTTAGTTACATGACAAATTCCCTTTTTACAATTTATTTGTATTTATAACTTACTTTATGTGATATACCAATTTGATTAGCTTTTTTTCTTCTTCCTCGTTTACTCTTCAATGTTCAAAGCATTTCATTTGAAAGAATACTATTTTTTAAAATGTGTATTATCCTTTAGTATTTTTGTAAAATTTAAGCATTGATGATTTAGTGTTGTTTAAAATGCAAGTTGTTGTTGCAAGCTGCTGAAAGCTTATTGTTGAATTCCATAACTAACACCGGTTACAAGTGTACAATCAGTCATTATTAGTCATGTCAAGTCAAAGAACAAAGCACTGTGTGTGTGTTACATTTGACACTGACTTGAGCTTTTTAAAATATCATTTGTAATGTGAATATAAGTAAAATCTGGCTGACAGGGTTTCTTAAGAAAAAAAAAAAGGTTGTGAACTATGGCAGAATCTCATAATTGAGCACCAGGTGACTACAACATTGTCTAACTGTAGCCATTTCTTGATTCTTCATGGATCAAGTTTACGATATTTTATAAAGGATTTCAGAAAAACACCAAAGCCATTAAAGAAATTCATTACTTTCTAAATTCAGGTCAGTTTTTGCTTAAAATTCTGTTGGTCCATCATCCTATTAAGCCATATTTATTTATGGGCTAAACATGATTGTGAGTAAAAGAAGACAATCTTAAAAATGAAATTGACAGAGGTTTAGATTTAAAAATAAATAGCATAAATTATAAAAACCACAGTCCATTTCAGATTTCATTGTGATTGTTGTAAATGTTTTCATAAGTCTACATTGAATGCATGTTGATTTGTTTTTTTTGGGTATGGTACATGTATGGTGAACTGTGAACAATGTTATTCATGCTCTGCTATGCAAATAAATCTAAGGAGAACATTTTTATGCCTTGTGTTCTATCTTCCAATCTTAGAAATATCCAAATTTACTCAAAACACTTGAGGACATATTTCTTTTTCTCTTCCTTTTTTTCTTTTGTTGTTGAAATTTTTAACTATTTAAAAAAAAATTAATTAAAAAGAAAAAAAAAGGTGTTTTTATCATTTAGATGAGATGTACCTTGGTATTCAAGCACATCATAGAAGTACTTGTATGCGTGGGTCACATTACACACCACATAGTAAATTTTCATAAATAATTATGCTGCACAGAGATAGATGACACTATTTGTGAATCTTAAAAATTATTCTTTAACAAAATGGCACCCTTTGATGAAAATTTAAAATTTTGCCATATTGATTCTTAGCTAGACTTTTTGAAGCTGGCTGAAACTGACAGCATAATTTTCCTATTTATTTCCTCATGTGTGTTAGTTTTTATAGCACACAACCTTTTGTAGCAAGATGTGTTCACAGCTGTCACCCATTGAGCATCAGCTGACCTTGTTTCCAACAATCTTTGTATTTGCTAGTCACTGCTAGTCATCCAAGGGGAATATCTTTCACATTCGGCAGTCTTTTATCAAATGTCTTTTATGATAATTACTGTCTACTTTCCTGTTTCATTAAAAAATAAAACTAGAAATGTATTATTAAATTATTATTTTTGTTTTTTGCACCATAATCAAATGGTCTCTTTGCAAATCCAATTCCTATCCAGTGTTCCAGAGAACCATGATAAAACTGGTAATGAATTGATATTTCAGTTGCAGTTGTCATTGGAACAAAATCTGATTTTGGTGGAATCTGGAATGGTTTGGCATTATAGGTCATTATGACCTTCATTCAGTTATTATTTTTGAAGTTAAAGACCAAGTGAGTTAGCTCTGGAATAACTATAATCACTTGAATATCTGTCACTTAAAGAACTTATCACTAGAATAACTATATCACTTGAATATCTGTCACTTAAAGAACTTATCACTGGAATAACTCTATCACTGGAATAACTATACCACTGGAATAACTATATCAATTGAATATCTGTCACTCAAAGAACTTATCACTGGAATAACTCTATCACTGGAATAACTATATCACTTGAATATCTGTCACTTAAAGAACTTATCACTGGAATAACTATATCACTGGAATATCTATATCACTTAAATAACTACCGGGTATATCACTTGGAATAACTATCTCAATGGAATAACTCTCAATGGATTTAACTATATCACTGGAATAATGTTCTCATTGGAATATTTATATAACTGGAATAACTATATCACTTGAATATCTATAGTCTATCACTTATAGAACTTACCACTGGAATATCTATACCACATTAAGTGTATGGGTAATTGTTAACTAAGTTCATCATTTTCATCAAGTCTTCTTGAGGATCAAAAAGAATTAAAAATTTAAAAAACAAAAAAGTGTTGATTAGCTTTTAAAGGATATTGTTACCTTAGGAGTAGAAGTAGAAGACAAGAAGTCACGGGTTATTTCAATGAAATTGTAATTATCAGAAAGATGATTTAATAAAAATGTAAGCGTGGAACAGAATATTCATGTATTATATATACAAGGGTAAGTATGTGGAATGATTATACAACAAATGATTCAAGTCAATGACTTAGCACATATACTATACTGATTTTAGACCTGCTGCAGTTGGTTAACGTTTAATGCGAGGAGTTTAATTTAAGTTTAAGTGTACTTTCATTACCTTACAACTAACGGCAGTTAAGCCTGTAATAGTTACTGTTATAAGCTGAAAAACTAATTTTAAGAAAGCTTCAACAAAAAAAACCCCAGTTTTACCGGTACCGAATTTGACTTGCAAGTACACTAGCCTTTCGGATATCAAGGAAAAAGATTAAGAAGAACTTGAAATTGTTATTATTTTTTATAATCATGATAGTTTACCCAAGAGTTCCTACTCATAGTAACAGATTGCTTCCCAATCTTTCTTGACCCATGCCCCAAATAAATCAGCTAAAATTTTGATGCCCCACGAGTGGAAAGTCTAGAGAAAATTAAAAGTTAAAGCGCCCTATTGCTGTGCTCTGAAACACAAACACATCCTTATCCCTCAGCCAATATGAGCCCCCCCCCCACCAATCATCTTCGAAATGGCTCCCAGTGGGTCGTAGACCTTTAACTGGGAAATGCAGCCTTTACCCAAAAAAGCTCTCACTGTAATTGTAATAAATTATGTTGTAGTATCATCTGTTTTAATATATTATGCGTTTTATAAGAATAGTCCCAATTACCATTCACATAGGTTTACAAAGTTATAATCAATAACCAATAGGCGGCCACTTAATCGAAACAGATTAATCAGCAATAAGCCACTTTGCTAGTTGGTACAACCCCGCTTCAAATACAATTTATTATTATAGTATCAATAGTATTTTTTTTTTTTTATTCTTAAAAAGATTTGCGAATGGCTTTTAAAAAAAAAAAAAAATATTTTTTATAATTATTAAAAGTCAGGAAAGTTAATTTAAATGCAGTCTCAAGTATCATAGCTATAACTGTAAAATGTTATCAATAAAAAGTCCCCAAATCAGACCACGTGCTTATTCGCATTCAAAATATTGTGTTAGTACATTCGCACCGAGTAGTTTACACACCAATCACAGAACCGTCATTCATGAGCTCATAAATTAAACAAGAGGTACCGGGTAATAAAGCACAATAAATGTAAACATGAGATATCGATCATGGGTTTAGTAACAAATAATGGCACACCTTCGCGCCCCCCTCCCCCCACACACACTTTTTAACCACTTTAAAAAAAAAAAATGAAAAACCCACTGATTTGGGAAAAAAATGTTAAGAAATGATTAGGTTAGATAACTCGGGCGTAATTCACATGTCTTCTCATTGGATCATTTCCCTTTGATTTGAACTTTACTTTTTCTAAGCACAATCCGATGACACGGCTGCTGCCAACTCTGAGAACGAGGTTTCCCTCCTGCTGGATAATAACGTTGCTCTTGTCCTGCCGACATTGGGATAGGACAAACATCGCCTAACTTACTAACACATATATCAAGGGAGTGTATCAGTCTTCAATCACTTGACTTGCATGCCATGCGATACAAAGCACGCTCGAACAACAAGGCAATCAAACATTCATACAGATTATTCCAGATATTATCTGAATCACATCAATATAGTCCGATACATAGTTCATTCATCAGGAAACTGTACACTTTTTGTGATAGGGCTAAGCAGCAGCAGGAAGACCGTGGTTAGAGATGTAATGACAACAAAAATCCAGAAAAAAAATTTGTCCAGCACCCTGGCCACTTCCTGCCACTCAAGAACCGCGGTTCTCTCCCCGTGGCTCTTGTCGTAGGCTTCGAGGACGGCCTTCATATAATGGAGAATCTGCGCCTCCATGAGGCTTTTTTTGCTTTCTCTCCCACGCCTCGTCGAGCCCGGATGTGACGTGGTTGTGCTCCCTTCAAAGGACCCGTTGCACCCAGGTTCCGGGGTCTCGACCTTAACAGCAAACGTTTCTTGCGTAACAGACGACGAAGGCTTTGGCACGAAATGGTTGATTTTCGACGCATGCGCTGTCATGCGCTGGAAGTGGGTGTGCTTGGAAGTCGACGTGTCGAACACATCTTCGGTGTAATGCTGTCTGCTGTTGTTGTTGTTGGCGTTTTTGGAGTTGATGTACATGATCCGCATGCAGAAGCACTTGGCGAAGACCCGGGCCAGCTTTCGGACTATCCTAGGCGGCCGTCGCATGTTGGTGCCTCGATGGTGGCAGTTGAGAACGAAGACGGAAAGCGCCACTGAAAGTGCGGACATGGCCATAATGACCGTGAGGTAGATGCCTGGAGAAAGACAAGATGAGGTATGGCTCAGAACGTCAAAGAATAATAATAATTCTATGAAGGTAACGGAATGAAGTTTGAAGCAGACGGCATTGAAAAGTTTGAAATAATCGCAAAATCTAAATAGCGTTTTTAAAAGTTTTTTTTTTCCGTTAGTTATTCTTTGCAAGCTTTAAATACCATGAGCTTGATTTGGTCATATTTTTAAAAGCTTTTTGTATTAATTCCTTTGGCGTCCCTTGGCAAAGCCAAAAAATTGGCACAATGAACACTGCCTGTGAAAAGCAGACGATGATATTAATTATACCCTTAAGCCTGGGTCTGTGGCCCACGGAGCATCGTGAACCTTGGAGCATCATAGACCCTGGAGCATTGTGGACTCTGGAGCATTATAGGCCCTGGAGCATCATGGGCCCTGGAGCATCATGGGACCTGGAGCTTCATGGGCACTGGAGCAGCATGGCCCCTGAAGCATTATGGACCCTGAGTATGGTGCCTGCCTTGCCCACATCTCGATTCTTTCGCCACCGAAACAACACAGTTAAGACCCCTGATTTTAAGATGTAAAACATGGTCTTACCTATGAGAGGTATATACTCGGACGTTGGGGGCATATTTTCGGCCACCAGAAGCATGAATACAGAGAAGGCGAGGAGAACGGTCAGTCCAAGGGTGACCTTCTCTCCAGAGTCAGGAGGCAACAGGAAACCGGTCAGTGACAGACTCGACAGTAGCATACATGGGATGATGACGTTCAGGAAGTAGTACAGCACGCGGCGGCGAATCTGTAACGATTTTTATTTCATTCAGACATAATCCAAGTACCGACTAGTAAAAAGACAAACTTGAAACAATCGTGTTGATGATGAAGTTGTGATGTCAGAAATGTGGAATGAAGTTATGTAAAAAAATTTAACAGCATGAACACAATCTGTAAACTAACACGAGGTAGTCATTTTAATTATAATTATTTTTGGACAGGGCACGGTTACCGGTATTAAATTGAAACATATAGATAACGCAGCGGCTCACTTTAGTCCTTAAGGGGTTAACAGGGATACACTAAGCCGCCTCGTCAAACTGTACCTTAATTGTGGCGCTTCTGTCATCTTTCAACAAGTCATCTATACATCGTTCCTATAATGCAAGGGGCGGGTCTTTCACTATCGGTCCATAGGTGAGTAGCGTCATTTTGAACACAAGGTGTCTCAATTTATTTTAAAAAGG